GGGAACCATGTGGAGCCAGGTAGGGAGCTTGCATGTGCTGGCCAGAACCACCGGGTGTTCCAGTTGAAAACTGGACACCTGGCAACCCTACACTTAGGAAGGGTTTAAACTAAACAGAAAAAAACAACTCTTATATGGAATGAGACTGTTCAGACTGTCCACACAGTGGTAGTATCTGTATAACTATAACAACATAACTAGCAAAATCTCCCCATGTAGACAAGTCCTACTTGCATTAATCACTATCAGACAATAGACTCTGCTTAAATATTCCTATCCCACAAGAAAAAGTGATTGCAATTTTTCTTTAAGTTTTAACGAGGCCATTCCTGGATGACACTCAGCAGCTCCTGAAAGTTTCCGAGTGCCCTTGCTTCTCAGAGCCTATAATGGGAGCTGAGGACAGTTCGCACAATAAAATTCTGCAAAAGTATGCAAGGTTGAGAGCCTTTGTATATCTGAATTCTTTCGTGCTCTTTTTATGTCATCAAAGCATTATGATGGCTACATTTTCAAAAAGGTGCCCCTGTAACAATGGCAATTACATGATTAATTAGGCATGCAATTGCAGTTGCTTTAAAATTTTCAACAGGTGGTGCTTTATAGCAAAACCAAAAAAAAAAACCAAAAAACAAAAACACACACACAAAAACCCGCTGACTGTGTACCTAAATAAAAAAAACGGAACAACCAGGCAGATCTGGGGGCGTGTGTGTCCATTTAAATAGGCCATGCCAGCGTCAATATAATTAGTCCCCTAATTGTGTGCCAAAACTTTTGTGTGCAGGTATAATTAATTATGATTTATTGAAAAGCACCCTCTCTGCAAATGCTTTCCCCTCCATTCCCCAAAAATCAGACAGCTGAGGGACAGATCAGAATCTGGTTTTATACATACATACAATATATTTTAGAATTCCCTTCTCCTTATGTTTTTACTAAGTTACAACAGACAACTACGACCTGTGCAGAGGAAATAAGAATGGCACGTTAATCATCAAAAAAATAAATACAAGGGTGGGGGCGGGATGTGTGATACCATACAATCACGTAAATAATGGACCTAATGTGTATAATGAGACTCTTTCACACTAGCCCTGACCAATCCACTAATAATAGTTAGCCAGATGTTCCGCTCTATCTACACAGGCAGGGGGAGAAAAAGCAGGAGTAGATGCAAGGAGCAGAGAATAGTGGAAGCAGCACCTCCAGTTCATGCTCGCCCTTTCCTGAGAGCTCCCCCAAGCCCCCCACTCCTTACCTTGCATGGTGCTGTGTGTTGGGCAATAAGGGTTAAGCAAAGGACCATCCACCCTCCTGATTTATATATTAATGCTCCCTTCTAGTAGCAGCAGCAGCATGAACTCCTGCTCTGTGCGGCAGCCCTTTGGGAAGAGGGTTATCACGCAGCATGAACAGCATAGTTCCTAGTGAAGCTGTGATGCCAGCGGGGAGGGCAGAAGCTGGGCAGCACCAGAGAGAGGTAGCCTAAAGGATCAGTGCTACTTTCTCCTCCATAGATTCCATAGGGTTTAGAAACCCCCTCCCTGCATCCTCTATGACCCACTGACGAGCGTGTCAGAAGCTCCGTGAAGTCTTCACGTGAGAAGTTCAAGTAACTGTGATTATTGCATTTCAAGTGACCCCAAAGGAAAAGTCCTATAGGTTTTAATAGAAGACAATAAACTTATTGTAATAAGTGTGGCGGTGGTGTTTTTTTGAACAACCCAGTAGAATTCATTGCAGAAATATGTCCCTGCTATAGAATGCTATTAAAAGAGGGACGTGGGGAGGAACCTCGAGAAAGGAGATCATTCTCTGTTAATTTCTCCCTGTTTTTAGAGCAATTCCTATAGAAACCTATTGGCTTCATCTGTGTTAAATTCTACAGGTCATTTTGATATGGGAGAAGTGAACAGAGTGCCAAGTCTGTCCATAGAAACCCAAACAGTCTCATCAGTTTCCATCCTATGTATTGGGGGGGAGGAATTGCTAGCATGTCAAAGAGGGAGAAAGGGAAGGGTTTTTAACCCTTTGGGGAAACCACTGTTTCCTAGGCAGAGATTTCATAGACAGTCTGGGCCAGATCTTCAGCTTTGTGTACGATGTCATAGCTCGGACGAAGTCAGGAGACAAGACCATTTACACCAGCTGAGGATCCAGCTCTCTCTAATTAATTCCTGTGCAAGAAAAAGGAGGATTGATAGAACAATAATGACCCCATAGCAATACTAACAATTCTGACTCTGCATCAGTACAATAAGCTTTTGGGCTGGATTCTCTGGTGTGGTGTGGCTGTTTCATCCTGTACTGCTGCCTTGTCTTGGCCTTAAAGCTTGTGTATGTACCTTCAGGGTACATCGCTCCATGGTATATAGATGATGCAGAAGCTCTGCGGCCACTCCTAGTCCCAAGTGATCAGGACACCTCTCTGCCCTGCCAATCCTTGCCTGTGGCAAAGCTGAGTCACTAAACTCCCTGCTGCCCTTCCTAGCCTCCACATCCGTTCTATTCCATCAGCTTCCCCTCTGCTCCTCCTGGACTCTACGCCTCCCTCTCTGGCAGAGTCCCCTCTCCCCCAGCACATGCTGGGTGTTGCAGGGAGAAGCAAAGGAGCCATCCCGTTGCTCACAGCAGGGAGTGCAGGAGGTGGGAGCGGAGCTGCCGGGCTCTTTCTGCTCCCTCCTTTCCCCTCCCCTCCTGTGAGAATGGTGGTGGCTCCGGAGTGGTCCAGGGGCGAGAGAGAGAGAACTCGGCCTGCCCCACGCAGCAGTGCCATTGGCTGCTCTTCCCCAAAAGGCAGGCAAGTGGGTAGAGCTGCCATTCGGAGAGCATTCCCTTCCAAGCAGCCCTAAGACTGTGAGCCCCTCAGCAACCTGGCTCACTCTTAGAAATGTAATTTCCCAGGGTCCCTGACCCATTTTGAGTCAGTGCCCTTTGAGTGCTGGCTCCTCCAGAAGCAATGGTGCTGTTGCATTCTCCTCTCTGTGGTACCTCTCCATTCTTATCATGGATTCTGAAATCTCCTCGAGCTATTTCTAACCCGCTCGAAAACCATCAAATGGCATCCTTATGCTTTCTAACTTTCTGCCTGCTTTCCTCCAGTGTACCCTTTTCCTGCAGTGGGAGGGCCTCATGGTTTCCTGGGCATCAGGCACTTGTGGGTGGGAAGGTGGGAAAGTCAAATGATGTAGTAAAGCTTGGCATAAAAATCCTTCATGTTTCCCAATAGTCTTTGCTGCAGTAGCTCTTTCATTTCTATTTTTATCCAGTATAGCTCTGTCATTCCCCGTCTTTCATCTTTCTTCCTAGTATTTTTAAGCTTTGGTTTTCTTCCTTGCTTTTCTTGACGGGCTCAACATTGCTTCCCCTGGTCTTCTGTTCCTCTTTGTTTTCACTGACATGCACAAATTCTCTATTCATTCTGGCATACAGATCTTTCTTCATTTCCCTTCTTTCTTTTAACAATCTTCTCTCATCTCTTTTAGATATGACTTCTGAGCTGTCTGGCTTCTTCTTCTAGCTACCTTTCAGTACAGTGAGAATAATGTATACTGTTTGTAGCAGGTCCAACAGGGGGAAAAATAGCAGTTATTTATGGCAGAATTTTTCTTGTTCTCTGCATGCTGGCTCAAATTTGGATTGGATTAATTGCTTAAAAATGCACATAATTATAAACTGAAAGGGTTTTTTGGGCCTACCCTTTTTTGGGGCGCCGGGGGGGGGGGGGGGACACTGATCAGTCCTAAGGTGCCACAAGTACTCCTTTTCTTTTTGCGAATACAGACTAACACGGCTGTTCCTCTGAAACCTGTCATAATTATAAATGAAACACTGATCAGTCCGGCAGATACTAGTCTACCCTTTGTGTTTAAATCAGATCATCCGCTATATGTGGGCACTTTATCACCATCAGAATTCTGTTTACCATCTTCATGTTATTCCCCCTCCCCCGTGTTATGTCCTTATTGATGTTTATAAGATATAAGTAGTTAAAGGAAAATTTCAAACGTATAGTATAACAACGAGTAATATTATAAATAATTGGGCCCCTATGCTGAAAGTTGTAATGTGTGAGCGGACGTGTGTGCAGCACCATTGATTTCAATGTGGCTTCATGTGGGAACAGCCCAGTTTCAAGATCTGGCCCTTAATAACCACAAGAATTCAAAAAGAAATTTAATCGCCCTAGTAAACTGAAGCCCTCCCGTCTCTCTGTCCCGTTTCCTCTGTATACTTAAACCGGGGCTACCTTTGATATTTCTCCTCACTTAGTATTATTAGAGGGAGCTTTAAGTTTGCACTGCAGATTTAGTAATGCTAAGGCAGTATGTTGACTGGTTAAATAAAAATTAAAGTAATGGCAGATGGATCCGTAATAATACTTAGAACTGCTTTGTGCATTACATCTTGAAAGCACTTTACAGACATTAACTAATTAATCCTCACAGTAGCCATATAAGGTAGATCACTCTTACCGTCCTTATACAGAGGGAGAAAGTGAGGCAACAAGCTTAAGTCACTTATCCAAGGCCTCCGAAAAATCCGTGTTAGGGGAAGGATTAGAACTCTGGAATTTCCAGTGAAATGTGCAGGAAGGTTGGGATTTCACTTACCAGTGCTTTTTGTGACTCATCAGAAAATGCCAGTGCTGACTAAATACCACATCTCTTTCCCCCCTTTGGCAAGTTGTTGGTTCTTTTTTTCTTTTAAATAAAAGAAAAATGTGTTTGAGATGTGTATGTGCAGTAACTTGGGGGGAGTGTAAAGGTCAGGTATTGTATGCTGGCAAACTGCATCTTCTTGAATTTTCCCCGTCTGATGAGTCATTCATTGCTATGACACATGTCTGGTTGTGTTAGTCATGTCATGTTAGAATGATTCTGCCTGTTCCTAGCTAGTTGATTTTATGAAAAACAAAAATCAAAAACTTAAATTGACAATGACACTAAAGTGCAAAAGAGTAATCTGAGGGAATGCAGTTAGCTTGCTTCAGATCTTATTTATTTTGTATATTGGAATGACACAAATGTTTTCCTTTGCAACCTTCAGTTCACCACCAGCTGTGTTCTAAGATTATGCACTCTACAAAAAAGTGAGAAATTTTTATATTAAGTAAACAATTTGTTACTCTGAAACTCCATGGTAGTAATTTATTACAAAAAACATAATTGTTTTATAATACAGGACAAATGAGCCAATGAAATGCATCTAGCTAATTCTAAATTCCAGGACAAACAAACACATTTGCTAGATTAAAATATGATTTATTAAATGAACCAATTTAACTTGGCACTTTCTAGAGTTTAAATACTGCAACAACAAGCTACCAATTATTACTTTAAAAACAAGCACATTTTTTTCCTTAATACTTTCAGTTAGGTCATTATTCTCCTAAAACTGAATATGTGGAGTACGTGCTAGTCTAGTCTATTCTGTTCTACAGAGCTTCTTATTCTTCCCTCATCACAGTGGTATCTGAGCACTTTCCAACAGTGCATTGAGTAATAGGACTAGCATTTGTCCCATGTGGCTTGTTCTCTCTCTCATCCTCTCCCCAAGGGAACAGTTGTGTGTGCAGTGTATTGTTTTGTTTTTAAATGTACACACTGCGGGGTGTGTGTGTGTGGTAAAAGAAGCAGGTTGAAGATGTGCATCTTGAACTTGGAATGGAAGGTGGTGGAGGTTTAGGATGGTCTGTACTTCCTGGGGGAGTTTGTTCCAGAGTTTCTAATTATTTTTTGAGAATTGTCTGTAAAAGACAGACCTGTTTTACCCTTACTGTAGAGTTTTATTTTAGAGAGCTCTACTATACTAGAGGAGCAAAGGTGTCAACCATAGTCTTCATCCTGGAGATATAGGCGGTCTTTTAGATATACTTGACCCAGGCCTTTGAGCACCTTGAAGATAAGGACCAAGACTTTGAACTTGATTCAGTATTTTATAGGAAGCCGGCATAGAGAGAAGCAGAGAGAGTTCTCATCTGCTTGCTATAGCCTGCATCACTTAGATGTACTCCTGGGTTCTGTACTCATTGGAGTTTGGGGCTGATGGTTTCATGACCAGGTTTATCGCATTGTTGTAGCCCAGAAGGAAGGTTATGAAGGCATGTATAACTGAGGCCAAGACATCATCTACCAGGCTAGGATGGAGTCTTTTAGCCAACTGGAGATAGTAGAAAGCAATATTTGTGGGTGCTGCTATGGATTCACCAGCGGGGAATCCAGTAGCACTTCTAACCTATAGATGGAATTGACCCATTGTGGATATGTACTCGCAACCAAAGGAGGATGCAGTGCTTTCCTCTGCCTTCCATCAGATCCTCCATCTTGCTTGAGTTCAGCTTCAACCATGGGTTGCTCATGTTGTGGCTTGGATACTTCATCCATGAGCTCATCTTATCTAAACAGTGTGCTAGCTTGGTGTTAGTGGTATGATCATATGTAGAACTGTGCTCAAGTTGAGCATGGCTGATGTATAATTGTTCATGCAAAAAAGCTTTTATATTATGTTAGAAAATTAAAAGACAGTGATCCATGTATTAGCCTCCATTTTCTCCAACAGTTTTATATTTTTGCTCATTTATCCTGGTCATTGAGATTCAATATATCCCTAAATTCCTCTAATTTTAAAAAAAAAGAGTCAACAGCTTGTATTAATTTGTGCAATCTCATCCAGGCCTTTAAGCGGAAGGATGGGAAATAGGAGAGGACAGTCACATTTTCTGAGGCTGCTGCTCCTTAGGGGAACACCACTTTCATAAAGAAGAATGCCCCCCTCCTTTAACCTCTTGGCAGTAGGAGTTGGATTTTTCCAGTGTGAAGTCCATTACTGCCAATAGATGTGCCTGGAACTGACTGTGTGATTAATGATCCTGGTTATGGGTCTGTTACCAGCTGAGAGTTCAATTCATCTCACTTCATGAGCGTATTACCCACCATGTATTGTCATCAGTGAGGATATGGTCTTTTGCAATTACAGTAGGTAAATTCTGTCTTTCAGGACATAAGAGAAAGGTAATGATGGAATTACCACTTAAGAACTGAATTGTCAAATGGACCCAGCTGTGTCTCTAGGAAATGAGCCACCTAGAGTTGATTCTTCTTAAGTAAGTGGCTTTACTCTGTGGGGGAGGGGAGGAGAGCTTTTGTTCCTTTTCCTAGGGGGGATGGTGGAGATGTGAAAACATTTAGGCCCCTGTTGTGTACAAGTCAGATGGTAATTAATAAATATACATATATTTAATAGTGGATGTGGTAGCAACTGGCAGAGTTGCCATTTATATAATGGTTTCCATTTTAATCTCTATCTTTTTTGAAACTTTTGTCTTTGAGTTGAAATTTTTCAGACTTAGTATCTGCCAACAAGTGAATTTAAAAAACAAAAAAAGTCGTCCGTCAATTCAACCACTTTTGAAGAGGAGAATGGACTTTTTTCTACAAGATACCCTTTTCACACTATTAAAAATACATAAAGAAAGATCCTTGCAGCACCTTATTTAACTGCTCTACAGCCAGAACAGCTGGAAATAAGAAGTTGCAATGTGGCAGGGAAATAGCCTCAGACTGAAGTCCCCTATGAGTGTTCCAGTTAAAATGGGTTTGAATTTGATGAATTTTACAGCCAATGTTCACTCTATTTTTTCCCTGTGTGTAGAATGAATAGTTCCATGAGTGCAAGTTTAAAATATGTAAACACAGCCTCTCCCAGTGCCATTCCATCATCCCCTTCTTTTGCTCAAGGAGGGGGAAAGGTAGGGCAACAGGGAGAAGGTGGGGACCCAGAAGCTCTTAAAGACCCCCACTCTAGCTGGATGAGGGGATCCCTGGCATGTTTCTTTCCCCAACTTCTAGTTCAGGGGCACAGGAAATAGACCCCTAGAACTTCTCCCAGTCTCCTCCCACCCTGCAGATGGCAGCATTTTGAGGGGAGCTCACCTGGTCAGTAGTCAGCGCGCTGTTCATGGTGCCACCAACACAACACATACCTCCATGGTGTATCTTAAATGTCATTTCTGAAAATTATCAGATCAATCTCATGTTTTTTTCAATTAATTCTCTGCACAGGAACTTGACCTGAAAGAAAATTGACAGGAATTCTCAGATCGGAGGAGGGTTTGAACCATACAGATAGTAGAGTAGGTCAAAATTGTGTTTAGTAGAGAAACTGTTTGTTTCTCTTTGGATTCTCCGTATAAATGAAGTAGAAGCAGAGATAGGGGCATAACTGAAACTATTGCAGGATTGATAAGCTTTGCAGCAGTTTCTGAAGAACTGGTAAGACTTACAGGGTCTCTCTCCTTCTGTGGAGCTAGTAAATTTTGCTGGAGCCCAAGTACAGAATTTGTAAGTTTTTTATCTGGAGCATGGGTCTTACAAAAGAGGATTCACTTATGGTGCCTGTAATTCCCTTGCAATAGATCATGAAATTTACAAATGTTATGGACACCTCATGAAAGCTGTAACCTTTGTGGAGATTTTATGTAACACCAAGAAGTTTTGGGGTTTTTTCCCCCCACCCAGCATAATTCAACATACCCCTCTGCACTAGTTCAACTGTAGGACATTTGGAATTCCTACACAACTCTGCTTGAGATATTTGATGGCAAAAAAGACCTTTACCGAAAATAAAAATACCAGTCACTGTTTAACTTTGCATGCCTCACAAATGCTTACGGTAATGATTTTCAGTGAGACTTAGGTTCCTGAGTGCTAAAGTCACTTTGCATTTGAAAATTTTACCCCCAGTAATAATAAATAGCATGCAGAATTTCAGCTGGAAAAGACTTTGTGTATATGATTTGTGCATTTGGGGACTGAAATTAGCTTTCTAGTTGTAAATCTTATCACTTTAGCTATGGGACTATGTCTGATACACAATGGAAATTGCATGTGTGTGACAGAAGATGGTTGTAGGGTGAGGGTATTTGTGCCTTGGTTACTGTATTGAATCCACTTGGTCAACAAGCTATGTGTTAGTTTATAGTAAATTAGAAACCTAAGTATAGTTAGTGAAACAGAAGTGTACTAGCTAGCTAGCCAGCCGAGGCACGAAGAACCTCTCATGAACAAGCATTGAGCACAGCTTTTTCCAGACTCTCCCTTTTTCACGATTAAGGGATTGGATTGCTCTGCAGAGGGAAAGAGCGTTAAGATACCTTGGGTCTACAGGAAAGACAACAAAAACCCATACCACAGAGTGACTGCTGCTCCCATGGCTTTGTCAAATAGCAAAGAATCATAGTGACAAACTGTATGCAACCTGCTGTACCTCTCCCACTTGAACTGAGGGTTAGTATTCTCTGTGTTGTGAGCAGTGGAAATACCAGTGCAGGGTCCTTTTTCTGTATATTTTGCACGAATGCAGGAAGATCGGTTGTGTAGTTTGATAAATAGTTTTGTTTTAAAATCAATTTACTGATATTTAGCTCTCTCAGCTTTTTTAAAATTGAGACTAGAAATGGGTCAAGGTGAAAAATTTTCATTCAGACCCTGGCTTTTGGAATCCTCAAAGTTCTGCCGTTTTGAGGTCAAGTGTTTTGGTCTAGCCCATCCTTTGCAAAGTCTGGTCCAGATTTGGGGCCCAATTCTCTGGTGGGGTAACTCTACTGAAGTCAATGGAGTTATTCCAGCAGAGAATTAGGACCCTGGATTTTGTTGTGTTCAGATATGGGGTTTTAGTTCAAACACCATCTTTAATTTTGAGACTAAAGGATGAAACCATCCCTTTAGTGAGGCATTCCAGCCTGCATTATATCTGGTACTCTGTTTCAGGAGGGCAATGATAGATTGAGCTACCAGATGGAGTGTGTCCTTTTTCTCATGGCATATGCATTGTTTGTTTTTGGAAGTCCAGCAAAATGACAGCTTTAGAGTTGCCACTGTGCTGAATATTATAGATTGCATTTACAGTTCTGTGTTTGGTATCTGCAGGGGCTGTAAAGCCTCTGGACACTTGTACCATTATCTTTCAGTATTATTAATCCAGTTCTAAAACATTACTGCTTATTGAAAGAGGTGGGGGTCTATGTTTTTAAAAATAAAATCATGGCACAGTTTGTAGCCCATATAATCACAAAATAGTTCTGTAGAATTAAGCATTTGATGCAGAAGCAAACAAAAAAGATACAATTTTGACCTTACTGTGTTTGTACAACCTGTATTTTTAAGTGGGGGGGGGGGGGAAGAAGAAAAGGGATTTCTTGAGTAGTTTCATTTTCCCCTCATTTGAGGTATAGGTTTTACATACAATAGGAAGTTACATCATACACTGTATGTATATCTTCAATGTGGATGAATGGTGGCAGTGACCACATTAATGAAATATAATGTTCACCACTGAGATATAAATAGAAGACAGTGGAAAGTCACTATTTGCCAACAGTTCACCACAGATCTGGTATTTGAAGTATAGGTAATATGAGACCACTATGTTGCAACTGTTAGAAAATGCTGGCTTTTTAATAACTGCTGTGCAGTTAGGAAGTAACATTCACACCACTGTAAGCATCTCAGTGCTTCTAGCCCAGTATGTTAGGTTTGGCTAAACACATACTCATTACTTGACTGTGGATTACACACATAAGTCTCTTGATTTCCTGCCTTTAGACTATACCAGAGATACCTGTGGGATCAAAGGCAGACAACAGCATGTGTTCAGTATTTGGCAACAAAGATTAACAATCAAGAGCGGCATATCACGAAGTGCCAAGAGTGACTGGCTTCACTGCATAATGCAGAGATTTGACTCATCACAGTCTGCTCATGCTCCTGAGACACCAAAAGCTACTGCCTTCAAGTCTTTTGCAGTTGCTCTCGTCTGCAGCACAAATACTCCATTGTCAGAGTTCCATTCGACCGGAACTTGGAACGGAGACATTACTGCATGCAGTGGATGAGGGACCAGTGTGACAGGGTTGGGACTCGCCCCCGCAGCGCCTCCCGCTGGCACCTCAGGGAATTAGCTCTGTCCAGTGCGGAGTGCCCTCTGCTGGTGGTGTCTCATCCTTCTCTCGCCCTGCCAGCATCTGGACCTGTGTTGTTCCTCGCACGGCAGCATCCTCTTCAGGACACTGCCCTCCGGTAGTGCCCACTGCTCCAGTCTAGCCCCCTTCTGGGGGTTTTGTGTTGTTAGCGGTCCACAATCTACACCTGCTGTAGTGGCCGGCTGCAGCCTCAGTGTCTCGCCCCCTTGTTGCAGGGACCAGCCACAGCCAGGATCAGGCCACGCTCCTCTTCAGCCAGGTGTAGTACAAGGTGTGGGGGGGGGGCACACAGGCCCACCCGCTACTCTGGGTCCTGACTCAGGGACACTTTAGCGGCAGCCTCTCTGCCCTCCTTCTCTCCCCTTGCCCTACTATTATCCCTGGGCCGCTTCCCCTTCTGCCCTATGCACCTGCCTGGCCCTTTGTAGCTAGGCCAGCAGCCTGGGGTTTTCCTTGGCTGGAGTTCCCCAGCTCCTTCTGCCCTTCCCCAGCACTGCTCTGTCCAAGGTGCTACCTTTCAGCTCAGGAGCCAGTCCTTTTCCCTTGACCACCAGGGAGAGACAGTCTCTCTCTTTACTAGGCAGCCTTTATATAGGGCCTATGCCAGCCCTGATTGGCTCTCCCCAGGCCTTCTCTGATTGGCTGTGGGTCTGCGCAGCCTCTCTGGCCTGGTTCAGCCCTTCTTCTCAGGGGGGTGGGACACCGCCCCACCACAAACTGATATAGGCAGAGATTTGGAGGATGTTGAGGCTGGGATTCTCAAATGGGCCTATGGGAGTGGGCACCCAACTCCAGTTGGAAGTCAGTGAGTGTTGGGTGCTTAGCTCTCTGAGGCTGTGTTGAAAATACCAGCCTGGAGCCATACTTTCCTCTACCTCCATGTCTACTTACCTTGTGCTGCTCTGTTGCTTGACACGTTGAAAGTAGAACTCCTAGACATTAAGGGCTGGTCTACACTACAAAGTGGAGGTCAGCTTAACTACATCACTCAGGCCTGTAAACAATGTTTTACGACCTGTGCAATGTAATTAAGCTGACCTAAGCACCAGTGTAGACACTATTAGGTTGATGGAAGAATTCTTCTGTTGACCCAGCTACCACCTCTCTCTCGAGAGGTGGATTTGCTACAGTGATGGAAGAACCCCTTCTGTTGCTGTAATAGGTGTCTACACTGGTGCAGCTGTGCTGCTGTAATGTTTCAAGTGTTGACATACTTTGAGGGTGATTGATACTAAACTGGGAGGAGTGGTAGATACGCTGGAGGGCAGGGATAGGATACAGAGGGACCTAGACAAATTGGAGGATTGGGCCAAAAGAAATCTGATGAGGTTCAATAAGGATAAGTGCAGGGTCCTGCACTTAGGACGGAAGAATCCGATGCACAGCTACAGACTAGGGACCGAATGGCTAGGCAGTAGTTCTGCGGAAAAGGACCTAGGGGTCACAGTGGACGAGAAGCTGGATATGAGTCAGCAGTGTGCCTTTGTTGCCAAGAAGGCCAATGGCATTTTGGGATGTATAAGTAGGGGCATTGCGAGCAGATCGAGGGACGTGATCGTCCCCCTCTATTCGACATTGGTGAGGCCTCATCTGGAGTACTGTGTCCAGTTTTGGGCCCCACACTACAAGAAGGATGTGGATAAATTGGAGAGAGTCCAGCGAAGGGCAACAAAAATGATTAGGGGTCTGGAACACATGACTTATGAGGAGAGGCTGAGGGAACTGGGATTGTTTAGTCTGCGGAAGAGAAGAATGAGGGGGGGATTTGATAGCTGCTTTCAACTACCTGAAAGGGGGTTCCAAAGAGGATGTCTCTAGACTGTTCTCAATGGTAGCAGATGACAGAACGAGGAGTAATGGTCTCAAGTTGCAGTGGGGGAGGTTTAGGTTGGATATTAGGAAAAACTTTTTCACTAGGAGGGTGGTGAAACACTGGAATGCGTTGCCTAGGGAGGTGGTGGAATCTCCTTCCTTAGAAGTTTTTAAGGTCAGGCTTGACAAAGCCCTGGCTGGGATGATTTAATTGGGTATGGGTCCTGCTTTTGAGCAGGGGGTTGGACTAGATGACCTCCTGAGGTCCCTTCCAACCCT